ATCTGAAGGGAAGCTAAAGTATTACAGTTAGAACAAATTAAATTAGAGAGATGTAAAACAGAACTGGAAATTGTTCGATTGCGAGCTGAAAGCAAAAGTGATAATGATCAAAACGAAACTAAGGAGAAAGTTCTGATTCCTTAGATTCCCTTATTAAAAGTATAAGAAAACTAACATTGAGGGTTCCGAGTAAACCTGAAAACTGGAGTTATTTTTTCTCGTCTTTAGAAAGAGCTTTCACGACAAAAAAATGTGTCTGAGAAATCTAAAGAGTAAATATTGTTAAACTTGTTAGGGGAACGGGCTTCGAACATTATCGTGTATAATAGAGATGAGGAGTTAAGTGACTATGAAAAAGTAAAAGCTATTGTTCTAAAAGAATTCAAACTTAACCACAAATTGTTTTAGAGAATTTTAAAAAGGCTCAACGCCTAAATGAGTCCCATGTGCAGTTCGTGTCGCGATTAACGACAGTTTTGAATATTACTTAAAATTGAGGAAAGTGTCTGATTTTGAAACTTTGAAGCAGTTAATAATATCAGACAAATTGTTTGAGGCATTAAATCGAGAAACGTCAGCCCATATTTCTGTAAGGCAAGCTGAAAGTTGGTTTCCGCCTCAACAAATGGCAAAGGAAACAGATTTAGTTTTTACATCTCGTGGAAAATCCCATACCGTAAGTGTGGACAGTTTTCAAATATCTCGCAACAATTACAGAATGTCGAAAAATTTTTCAAAGGTATTCCTTGCCGATGTAAAAGGCTTAAAGTGTGTTCTGTGTAGAAAAATCATTTTTTTGGCAAAATGCCCAAATTTCTTGAAACAACCAGTGAATGAGAGTTGAAATAATCAAAAGTCATAAATTGTGTTTTAATTGCCTCTCATTAAGTCATTCTGTTAAAAACTGCAAATCAAAGTTTTCGTGTTTCGTTTGTGGGAGAAGACACAACATGACACTGCATTTTCCAGTAGAAAATAAATCATCGAAAGTGAATGAAAAAAAATAAAAAAGAAACAACGAGTAACAGTATGCTTTCCCCTCTAGCGCCAGACTTCCTGCCTAACAGCGGTAATGCTCTGTTTACAGCGACAGTTGTAAATCGATCCAAAAAATGTGTTCTTCTGAGCACGGCTATTTGCTTTATTAATGATGATATGGGCAAGGTACATCCAGTCAAAACATTACTTGATGAGGGCAGTACTTCATCGTTTATAAGCAGAGACTGTGCGAATAAATTAAACTTTGATTCTGAGAAGGTAAACATTGTGATTTCCAGATTAAATGATTCCTTGTTTACAATTCGAAAGAGAGTTTCGGCATGCATTAGCATTAAAGATAAAAGTTACATGAAACATTTAGACTTATTAGTAGTACGAAAAATCACGCAAGATTTGATTCCTTCAAGGAAAATTGATATTAAAATGCAGGATTTTTGTAACATAAATTTAGCTGATGAGAATTTTAATGTTCCAGAACGTATAGAGCTGAGGTTTTCTTTGAGATATTAAAATCTGAATAAATTCGCTATGAAAACTCGAGTCTTATTTTAAAAAACAGTGTGTTTGGGTTTATAGTGTCGGGAAGCGTTACATCAGAAGAACAGAGCCGCGTGCATTGTGAGTTAATGAAAAAATCTGATAACTTAGAACAAACAATAAGAAAATTTTGGGAAATAGAGAATGTTGAAACATTTCATTAGTAGACAATTTGAAACTAACCTATGAGGAGTTTCTTACAGTAATTGCTCAAATTGAAGGCATTTTGAATTCTAGGCCTTTGCATCCTTTATCATCTGAACCAGAGATTTTGATATCTTGACACCAGGCCATTTCCTGATAGGCAGACCTATCACGGCTATTGCAGAACCTAATATTTTAAACGTTAAAGATAATAGATTAAAGAACCGGCAAAAATTGACTAAAATAGTGCAAACGATTTGGAAGTATTGGAGAAATAACTATTTGAGGATGCAAGGAAGAACTAGATGGTTCTTTGAAAAAGACAATATGAAGGTTGCAACTATGGTAATTTTAAAGACTGTTAATGGTCCTGTATGTAACTGGCCTCTTGGCAGAATTGTAGAAATACACTTAGGTAAAGACAATAAGGTTAGAGTAGTTTCAGTGAAAACGAAAAAGAGGTATTTTTAAGAGATCAATTAATAAAATTTGTGTTTTACATATACCAAATTAAACAAAAAGTATGTTTGTAATGAATTATTGTATTTTCTTATTATAGTAGTTTGATTTTGTTGATGTTATTATGTTGATGTTTACAATTATTTACCTGTATTTTGTATTGTCACACTGTGTAATTTTTTATTGTAAGATTTAATTTTGAACGATTACATCATGTCAAGGCGGGCGGTATGTTGCGCCTGCGCGCGCATTTCTGTACTAGCGTCTACGCATGCGCCTTGGGCTCTTGAAGTTTGCGACATGAGATTGTGAGCTAAGAGCGTGGGAGAGAATTCGTGGCTTCGAGTGGCCATGAACGATGAAAATTAATGAGAATAAAAGTGTCATATAATAAAGTCCATTGTTTCCGAATTCTGCGCAGTTTTTAAATTTAACGTTTGGTGTTCCCTTCAGTCATTTTTCCGGTACATTTAAAAGCTAGACGAAGGCTGGCAGCTTAGCTGCTAGTATAAAATATAAAGATAAAACGGAAGGTTGCATTTTTGTCTAATTTCAAAAGTTGATCATTCAAGTATACTTTTCTGAATGTAAAAAGTACAAATAGAAAATATGTTGTTGTTGTAGTTGTTGTGACTTATAAGGGTTATTTATTTCTCAAAATGGGAACCTCTGGTCTGCCAGCATTCCAGAATAAATTTGAGCCAAATAATATAGCCATTTATCTGTGATTTTTGTTCTTATTTGACTGGTAGATTTTCACTTCTTTGCGGTTAATTATGAGTAGTGTTTTGAGGATTGATTAAGTATATGCCCGTGAAAACGCCTTTGAATTTTGCATGGCATGTGTTTTACATATGTTAAGCATGAGATGGGTCTTTTTTTTAGTTATGAAAAATTAGGAATAGTTAGTTAAAATAAAAATGTTGTTGTTGCTGTAAAAGCCAGATTTAGACTTGATAAGGCCCTAAACTGTTAGAGATATGGGGCCCTTTATAAGTTTGTTATAATGTATTTGAATTTTTTGGGCCCCCAAGAAAATGGGGTCCCTAAGCTATAGCTTGTGTAGCTTATACATAAATCCGTGCCTGGTTGTTGTTGTGGCTTATCACACTTGTTTGCTAGTAACATAAGAACAAGACCACGGAATTCATCGTGGCAAGGAGTGCAAGCTTGCGCCTGTCGTTGGCAAGAAACTTGAGCACCATACAGGTGACAGTACGACTTTGCTCAATCGAACTTTCATTAATGAACATTCCATTTTACAGAGCATTTCCCATTATCGTACTGTTTGTGAATGTCCGAATCTTTGAATTGGGATACCAATGCATTTCCCTTTAGCGGATACTCTTTGACAACCAGTAACAGCCTTTGTTCCTGGAGTATCCGCTATCTTCTATTAGAAGCGAAGGAACTGCATCCCATGTACAGTAAAACAAACAAAAACAAAAACAAAAAAACAAAAAAAAAAAACATTTATTAAAGATGTTATCGAAAATTTTTAAATTTTGCATTACTCAGGAATGGTGTAAATGGTAGTTACGAAATTAGGTCTATAGTTAAATTCAGAACATAATTCATCGTCGCTAATTTAAAATGCCAGATTTAGTTTTTTTTTCTTTTCTAAAGCAGGATTCCTTTACATGCAAATAAATGCATGTGCATAGCTATATTTTTTAGTTTCATGACCATTAAAGTTTAATTAAAATAAACTTTAGTAAGCAAAGAAGAATTCCAGTAAAGAATTAGTTTCATGGTTTCTTCGTATGTACTACATAGTAATTACAGTGATATAATGATCACTTTATCGATCTCATTTTTTGTCACCAAAAGTGTTAAGGCTAATTCCTTATCTTTTTATTACTCAGTTAACAGAAAATGAGATATATTGGGCTTATTTTTAACAGTGTGAAACTACCCATTAAATTACGGAAATGTAAATTTATTATACCATCTTTTGGATTATGTTACCTAAAGAAAAATCCCATATGTTCTGGAGGATTCTTGTCCCGTTTCCCCTCTCCTTTTGTATAGTGGGTGCAGTGAAAAATTGCGCGTTCCACTTATATCTTTCTTCCAATGGAGTACAACGTGTTATCTTTGCGATTACGAAAACCATATATAATGGCTGAATGAAAAAGTAGCGTTCTATTATGTCAATCAAAATGTTGTTTTTCTTAGAATTGCTTCAAATGCACAAATGTTTTTCAAATGTTCATTTTATTAGCAGCTGAATACATTATCTGCCGCCCAGATGGTATAGTGGTTTGGGGAGCTTACTGCTGTACCGAAGAGCCCGAATTCGAATCCTCGAGAAGGTATGGATGTTTGTAAATGTATAGTGTCTTTACGGCATGGAGACAATATAAATGCGTGGTGAGCCGAAAGTCCTCTCGTGGGGATTCGTGGTAGAGGAGAAAGGTGGGACTATCACACGAGTTGATCAACGTTAAAATTGGAATGTCTTAACCCCTTGAGGCTCTGACAACCATTCGTCTCTGAAATTCATAGACAAGACAACAGCAATACATTCTCTGTTTTAAATATATATTGAATTAAATTCACTTTAAATCACATCAGTCTGGAATAACATTAATAATTAAATTAAGGTTACAAATAAAAAAAAAAATGTGTGGAATGCTGCTCTTATAAATGAAATATTTCACTTGAAGTTTGCAGTGCGCGATTCTTCGTAGTTTTGGGCTGATATTCAAATTTGAAACAATTCTGAATTACTCAAATGTTGATGTTATTTGTAAATCGTTACCAAAAATATAAATAAATCGTATAATTATATATCATGAAAACAATAGTTTTTGCCAAGTGTAAAAAAAGATTTAAAAAAGAAAAATTTCAACGCTTACGTTCTATAAGTTTCTTGAGTTTTTCCAAGGATTCCTTCTTAATTTGAGGTGTTTCACCAAGTTCCATTTCTGCTATTTTTTCCATTTCGGGCGTTAAACCATCCATTATGGCTGGAGCAAGAACCATCTCGATAAGTCGATGGAAGCAATACCACATGTAAATCACTAATAAAATTCTGAACTAAGTGCAAAGTGTTTTCAAAACAACTCTCCAAGGACGCTAGACCAATTTTTATAACGAAAATATTAATATTTATGTAACATTGCAACAATATGTTCAAGGCGGAAAACTACTATTAAATTCGGCAATGATTGCTCCGTTACAGGGAAAAAAATTAGTCTTCTGATCGAGTAATGATATAAAACAGATTTTATTTCTGAAACGTGATATTTTTTTCCCTCTTTCGCGACACCTAGAGTTTAGCGTACGCTAATTACTGAAGGTCATTTAAATTTATAATTCATCAATACAAAGCACTTAAAAAGTTGCTAGAAGTTGCAAGAAAAAGCACCGTATATTGAATAATGGTACCTCTAAATATAAAATATAAAACAGAGATATAAACTAGCAGACATATCAGTACTTAGGACTCAATATACAGTGTACCTAGTACTCCCACTTACCTAATACTTACTCACTTAGTACCACTTAGTGGGTCAAATAGTCATCGTGTACAGTAATAAGAAAGTCATTTTAATATTTAATGATGTACTTAAAAATGATTAAATACACAGAAATCATACGTAATACTGTTGTTCTTAAAAAATAGAAGGAAAAGAAATCTTGATAGTACATGAAAGATATCTGTTGTTTCTTTCTCCATACCAAGCATCTTTCTTCCTGAAACTAGCTTTCTGATGTATGAAGGCGTGTTTTGTGCACCTAATGATTTCAGAATAAGAGTCGGGCGAATATCTGTTAGCCTAGATGACATTTGTCTTCATAACTGAGAAAAGTTGTTCACACTGATGCGTACCGACGAACATAAAAATCGCGGTACAATGCAAATTTGCGGCTTTCTGGGAATCGCGTAGCAAATATTTCTGAAATTCAGGGATTCAGATTTCCCCGAATTTGCGTTTTAGAATTGAATCTCACTGAATTGCTGTTAATTCAATCTGTAAATGCTCCCGCACTTTCTCAACCTCGGTTGGAAAAATACTCTTATAGAGATACTCTTTCATGAGTCATTTATAGCTCCCGAAAGTGTACAGGGTGGTCATAAAAAAACTTTCCGAATATTTGGACCCTTAGCGGCCTATTCGCTCAACGAACCAAAATGAAATTTCAGATAATTTTGTTTGAAGATATGCTCTCGAGATCTCACGGTTACGGTTGCAATAAAAACATTTCGAAATTTTTGAATGAGAGCACCCACTTTTTTCCTCCTCAAACTGATCACAGTGTTTTGAAAAAATATAAAGTGTTGGAACGATACACTTATAAAGAAACTTGCCAGCGTAAAACATTTATAAAGAAGGGATAGTCATCATCCTTCCTCATCATATATGCTGCACATATTGGACGGAATTCGAACAGCTGGCCATTGCTGATATTATTAACAGACGAGGTGCATTACTGCTTAACTGAGATAGTAAACCCGAACAACTGCATTCACTGGACTGACAGAATCCTCCTCTTGCGGCAAAAATCCTCATGTTATGACCGCCTTTACACGACGCTAAAGTGACTGTCTGGTGCGGCGTGCTCCATTACAAGTACTCGGTATACAACAATGTTACAAAATTACGTAATTACAGAATTGCAGCAGCGAAATGTCGGTAATAACATTGTATGGATGCAAGATGATACTCCTCCATACGTCACCACATCTGTTCGGCAAGTGCTGCAATAGCACTTTGGAGAAGAGCCATCTCCAGTAACTTGATGGTTTCGCGGCCACCGTGATTCCTCGACGTCATTCCGATGGATTTCTGTTCCTATAATTATCTGAAATCTAAGGTGTACACATCAAAGATTCCATAAAACGTGAAGTTAATTAGATTCCACCAGTGACATTACATTCGTCATTGTTGTCAACGATCTCCCGCACGCAATGCGTTATCGTCTGCGGAGGTGGGCATGACGAAACTATCTAATTTCAATCAAAGTGTTTTTCCCCTTCTCCTCTCTAGTCTTGTCATTAGTCTTTTACAAAGCTCTTTTTTTTTTTTTTTTAATTACAATGCATTTTAATTATCTCCAATTTTTGTTTTTACTTCCTTGTACGAAGTAAAAAGGAAGTATTGTAATCGCGAAAAGTTTCAGGCAGCATATTTCAACGAAAATATCCATTTTGACCGCTATCGAATGCAATTTAACGATGTTTTTGCGTGATATCTGTACGTAAGGACAGAATAAAAGACTCTTTTCCTTCCCAAAAAAATTATAAAACTGCTTTAAAATGAATTCTGAAGAGAATTTTTCGTGGCGTCTGTACGAACGTATGTACGTACGTACGTATCTCGCATAACTCAAAAACGAGTAGCCTCAGAACGTTGAAATTTTGTATATAGGACTGCTATAACATGTAGATGTTGCACCTCGTATTTTGGTTGCAATCGGCCGCACCAAACGTATATAAATATATTTATATATATATCCACTCTGTTACCCGGCTCAGTGATCTCAGTTTCTTTACTCTTATATGTTTGTAAATTGTACATTTTTTGCTTTAAAAATGATTGAATTATGTTGTTTTATCTTCCGGTTAAGGTTTTTATGCCTTTAGTAAATCTGTATGCAATATTTTTAGAATTATCAACAATTTAAAATAAAAGTTGTTTAAGTGCCGCTAAGCCTAATTTTTTGATGGCGGCCATTGATTGTTTACATTTGAAACAGTAGACTAGTGGATTTGTTGCCAATCTAGAGAAACTAAGCTTCGCAACAACAAAGATAACGCCTTCATTTATTATTGCGAATTAAATCATGCTTAATCCTTTCTGGAATTTTTTCGAGGAAATAAGTTTTTAAGATTTACTTCGTAATTTTTAATATAGATATTTTGAGTTTTTATGTATTTTTGCCTTGTCGCGAAGTGAGAACTGAATTAATTGAATGAGAAATACTCAATCGTCTGTGAAAAACTGTTTCTTTTTTGTTTTGTTTGCTTAATTTCTTTTATACATCGTTCTAGCTTTATTATAGTATTTGAATAGAACATGTGGCAACGATTAGATAATTCTTTAAATGATATAAATTTTGTGCATTCTGAGTTATAATATGAACGAAATATAATACTGTTAAGTGAACCTAGCGCCAGAGTGTCGCTATGGTAAACAAATAGAGTGAATTTTAAAGAATGCATTTATTCTATTGTGGTTTATGCGCTGTCGGCGAAGTAGATTTAATTCAATCCAATAAGTTTAAATGAAATGCAAGAAAAAAATGCGTATAATTTAATATTCCGTACAAGGAAGTCATGTGGTGTACACGTCAGATTTTTTTAATGAGGTATTCAATTCCCGCAGGAAAAATGTGGGTTGGCCTTCGAAAATTTCGACATTTTTCACTGCAAACATAACCGTGAGAGCTTTATTGTTTTAAATCATTACGATCTGGCGTGTAGCTTCAAATAACAATACCTGAAATTTCATTTCAGTTGGTTGAGCGGATAGGCCGCTAAGGTTTCATATGCCGGGGAAGCTTTTTTATGACCACCCTTGCATGGTCATAAAACCCTGCATGGTTTTTATGTCTTGCTGTTGGGTAGAATTCTAGTTTATACTCATATATTATATACTTCTCGTTATTTTCTTGGAGTGAAAAAAAGGGCCGCAGGAATACCAGTCAGAGGCCTCGAGTATGACATGTGTGTCCTAGAATCTGTACTTTATGATCAATTATGAAATACGATAAATTTGCTATTGCGATGATTGTACATTTTATATTTGACGTGAGACTGGCATCAATATATAGAGAAATATCAGAGATGAACATTTTAATGTTTTTGAAAAGTTTAAAATTTATTTTTAATGTTAGTTTTTAGCAAAAGTTTTGCAATTTGTTTTTTCCAAATAAAGCTTGACGAAGATTAAATATTTTATTTTCTCTAGAGTAATTTTTCTAAACTGTCTGCCAAAGGTTTTATGAATTTCAAAAATTTTCAAATCTCTGTCCTGTCTAGAAATTAATTTAACATGTTGAATGCCATGTCATCTATATTAGAATAAGAGGAAGACAAGACTGGCGGATAAATTATTGTAGACGTTCTTTCGTCGAAAAATGAGCAAGATTAGCAAAATAAATCTAATTGAGCGACCGTTTTATCTCTTTGTTGTTCAGAAAATCACAAATGATTGTCGGAAAGGTTTTAAACGTAACAAATATTTATTTATTATTATGAATACAGAAAAATACTATTATTAAGATAATGTAAATATTTCCTTCCATGGCAGAATGTAAATTTAGATGAAAAAACAACCTTTAGATTGTCGTAGATTTTGACAAAACGCTTTCGATTTAGAGAAAGATCAGATATAGATAGTTTTACTTCCTTCAGAAGCATAATAAAAATAAAATAAAAGCAAAATATTATGTAATAAAATATTGTTAGTTCTGTGCAAGATGAGCTTATTTCTGATCGTCCTTGAAAGGGAGAAAACTTTATTTAAAATCTATGTTGAATCAAAACTACTTTTGTTGCGCTTAAGATTAACTGCAAGTAATTTATTCGGGAAAAAATCATTTGAAATTCTTTTAGTTTTCTTTTATAGCATTGCTGAGGACAGTCCCGGATTTACCGGGGGGGGGGGCAAGCCGAGGTTCTTGCCCCGGGCGGCAACTTTTGAGGGCGGCAAATTCAAATATAACGCTGGATCATTTTGGTATATTGTTCCCTAAAACAGCTCTCTAATTTTAGTACAATGTTAATAGTTTTAAGGCAAAGTTTAAAAACCTCTTTTAAGAAGATTTGTACCGTAATTTCCGGAAGAAACGCCGCGGCATTTAAAGGAACGTGTTTAAAATAAAGTACAGCCGATTACAACTATAAATACAAGATCAGAAAAGAGGCCAATAGAGGGACTTCAAGCGTCACTGATAGAATCAGACTGACCCTATCAGTAACATCTGGAGTCCCTGTATAATTTGCTGTCTAGCTGGGTGTATTAAAATATAAATAGAACGATAGATAGA